TATATTTAAAAAATAGTAATCATTGAGACGGCAGATTGCTTGAGCTCAGGAGTTCGAGACCAGCCTGAGCAACAGCGAGACTCCATCTCTAAAAATAGCAGGGCATAGTAGGGGTACCTGTAGTCACAGCTACCTGGGACAGTGAAACAAGAGGATCACTTGAGCCCAAGAGTTTGAGATTGCTGTGAGTTATAATGCTACAGCACTCTACAGAGGGCAACAAAGTGAGACTCTGCCTCAAAAAAAAAAAATCATATAGATAGATACACAATTACAAATTGTGAAATGCTACTGTAGTAGAAATTGCTAGTACAGTAGTAATTATCCCTAGTATTTATTTGCCACTAAGTAATAGTTTCTGAATTCTGTCTGGCCATGACCACCAGAAATGCGCTTTCCAGCCTTCCTTGCTCCTAGTTAAGGCCATGGGAATAAGTCAGATAAATGGGATCTAACTGGAATAGTGCATGCAACTTCAAGCAAACATCCTTAAAAACACAAGTCTTGCTTTTTGTTGCTTTCCCCCTTTTTTTTTTTTTTTTTGCTTTCCCCCCTTCTTACCAGATGGAGCAGCTATTTTAGACTATGATATGGACACTTTGTGCGGAGAACGGCAGAGCAATAGAACAGGAGGAACCTTGGTTCCTGGATGCTCTGGAACTACTGTTAGCAGCCCTTGTCCACCTCCTTTAGAAGAGAGAGGAAAAAAATGTGACCTTAATTTATGCCATTTTCATTTTGGCTTTCAGTCATTAGCAGCTGAATCTAATCCTAAATGGCATAACTATGAAGGAAAAATGAAGGGTTCAATGAGAGATCATAATGGAAAGAGTTGATTTTGACTAGAGGAAGGAGTTTCAGGGATAACTCCTCTGAAGAAATAACATTCAAGTTGTGACAAGAAACTTGACCAGGAGAGCACCAGGTGAAGGGAGGGAGGTGGCAAACTGTTCAGGGCAGGGGACACCCAAGATGCAACTACAAAGATTTCATCCTAAAACACCAAAGAAATAAGCAACTGACTTTGGGATGTTAAGATCGCCTCTCTAAGGAATTAGAACGAATTAGTGCTTTGACTGCAATATCAGAATATCTCCATTCTGACAAGAAAAAGACCACATTGCCTATCAAAAATAAGGGGAGAGGGGGCAGTGCCTATGGGTCAAAGGACTAGGGCACTGGCCCCATATGCTGGAGGTGGTGGGTTCAAACCCAGCCCTGGCCAAAAAAAATGAAAAAACAAAAATAAATAAGTAAAGAAAAAATAAGGGGAGAGGGTACAGAATGAGAATGAACCCTGTTAAAGAAATTTAACAGTTGCCTCCACTATACTTTAGTATTTAGTGTTTAAAATAGTTGGATTCTTTTTTTTTTTTTTTTTTTGAGACAGAGCCTCAAGCTGTCCCCCTGGGTAGAATGCCATGGCTTGACTGCTCACAGCAACCTCCAGCTCCTGGGCTCAAGCGAGTTTCCTGACTCAGCCTCCCAAGTAGCTGGGACCACAGGTGCCCACCACAACGCCCAGCTATTTTTTGGTTGCAGCCATTATTGTTGTTTGGCGGGCCCGGGCTGGGGATTCGAACCCGCCACCTTAGGTGTATGTGGCTGGCACCTTAGCCACTTGAGCCACAGGCGCAGAGCCAATAGTTGGATTCTTGATTAGAGTGGCTCATCTATCATGAGGAGAATGTCGTTAGATTTTTAAAATGTTTTAGATTTATTAACTATCCCTGGAACAGATAAAAACTAAAAAAAAAAAAAAAAAGCTTAAAAATATATGTTTCTTATTTATTTCTGATTCTAAAAGAAAAATATTTATTATGGGGAATTTAAAACATATACATGAGTATTTTAAAAAACCACCTGTAAACTTACCTCCTTCACAATATTTTATACAAAGGGTTCTCAAGCTGTGGGTTGCGACCAATGAAAATACATCCTGCATATCAGATACTTACATTACGATTCATAACAATAGCAAAATTACAGTTATGAAGTAGCAACAAAAATAATTTTATGGTTGGGGGTCACCACAACATGAGGAACTGTATTAAAGGGTCGCAGCATTAGGAAGGTTTAGAACCATTGTTTTATACCAACACGGTTTGTACACATTCACATGCCCACATACATATATATGTACAACAAACAAAAACGGGATTATAATACATAAAAAGTTATGTGTAATTTTTCACCTGCCATGTCATGAACACATTCCTATGTCATTAAAATACTTTCTGAAACCATGATTTTAACGGCTATATGACACAAAATTTAGTTAGCCAATCAAGTCTGGGGATTTTCTGAGTTAAAACTGTCAACCACAAATTGAAGCTCCATATAGGTCAAGAAGCTAGCTGACTTCAAAATCTGCCAGAGTTTCTCTGCAAATTAAGAAATTTGGGTTACAGTTTGAAAGCACTAGAGCTTTCCAACAAGAATTCAATGAAATTCACTGAATTTTAGCCATGAAGAATGTTCACTGAAGATCATATTTTCCCAAAGTATACTAACGTAGTATATTAATGTAGTTTTAAGGAAGAAATTGAGTAAGTATCAAAGATTGAGCTGGCAACCATGAATAAGAACTAGTAAGGGGGGCAGTGCCTGTGGCTCAAGGAGTAGGGTACCGGCCCCATATACCAGAGGTGGTGGGTTCAAACCCGGCCCCAGCCAAAAACTGTAAAAAATAAATATAAATAAATAAACTGTTAAAAAAAAAAAAAAAACTAGTAAGAATCAGTGACTAAAATTTTTTTATAAAGCAAAATAAGAGAAAATATATATCCATTATTTGTATGATTAAGTTTTCAAATGGATACAGAAAAACTGATTATAGAAAATGCACATAAAAAAAGAATGGAAACAAAATGTGACAAAGAGTTAATAGTTATTAAGTCTGGAATATGACATTATTCTTCAAACTTCTTTGTATTTTCTATTTTTCTAACAAAATATTAATGTTAAAATATTACTCACGTGCTGAAGGTTAATACATATTTTTGTTTTTAAGGCAGAAGGAAATGGGTAAGTTTTGCTAGAGGCTATGTGGCTCTTTCAAGAAAGAAAAACAAAAAGCTGGACATAAAGCATTAAGAAGCTATACTAAAACTACTTTAAACTAAATAGCAATGTTTTATGTTGGAAAAGTCTAAAGAGGGATCAGCTTTTGAACTTCATAGCTATGTTTCCTTTAATTACTATACTACCCCAAAATGACATTTTTTCCATTCTATCAAGAAGATTATTTTAATAGTTAAGCAAGTACTATAAAATTCAGAAGACTGCATTTTAGTTTCTGACTCTAACTTATTTTATATGCCTAAGGTTTTCCTGATATAAACACTTTTTTAAAATTCCAGTTTCTAAAATCCAAACTTAGTTCAGATGACAGTTAGAATACGCCACTGGATGAAATGTCTCACTGAACATAAATAGTTGCAATTTCCTATTAAGTGAGGACCCTAGCAGAAAAAAAATAAAAAGCTTTTGGTTTACAGAATAAACCAAATCTATATATTAGTTCATACACACAAACATTTCAATAAACAGAAATTTTTAAAATTTTCCCCACTTTCCCCAAATGTAGCCTTATGTTGTCTTAACTTTGTGACAGCATCCCCCTCAACTCTCACCTTTCCCTGCTGGAACATGAGACTTTTTCAGTAAGTGACTCATTCATTGGCATCTTGTCAAACTAACCTTGAAACTATAAGGAGGCTCAGCGCTAACAGAATTCTAAAGCTAGAACACTTTCACTAACACACATCATTTGGACTTTAGAGAACTGAATCACATTCAGAGCCAAATACATACTAACCAACTCTGTTTATATTTTTCCTTACAAATTGTTCTCCACCATCCCACCTCCTCCCAATTTTAGTTTGGCAATTCCCTAATCTAAAATACCTCCTGTCTGTGGAGAAGACAAGATGTGGAAGCATAAGAATAGGAGGAAGGAGTAAAAAGCAGTTGTTCACTCAGCTTTGAGGATTCTATTCTGAAACATTAACAACTCGTATCTATTCCACATAGTTCTCAAAGTTTATTTCTCCCCTCAGTTAAATGAAAACACAATACAACACAGTAAAGATTATCCAGGATTACTCTCAATACTATTATTTCACTAAATAAAAGTTAAAAACATAAAAATCAGTTACTGAGAACTAGTCAAAAATTTTCAATAAGATAACACTAGCATGAACTATCAACTGCAAATCACCTGATTCTTCTGGTTCACACATTTCACCTACTCCAAAGAAAAAAGTCATTTTACCCCAAGAAAATTGCTCTTTTTAACCGGAGGGAGAGTGGTAGGGAAAGACCACAAAAATAATTACTTTATCAGATTACCATAGAAATTTACTTATAGCTCTTATCAACTGTCACACTCCAACGTGGAAGCAGGAGCTGCCTGAATTGGTGAACTGGAGGTCATTATACAAAACATTCCAAAGAATACTTCTCTTTGCCCTATACAGAGTAAGTGTAACACAGTTCCACCGAAGTTCACATCATAGTTGGTTAATATCTAGCAGAGATTAACATAAAGGTATGATAATACTTAGAATGGGAGACCTACATTTAGAGCAATCTTACAACTATTCTCCCCCCAGCAGATTAAACATCAGCTCAAGCCTTTAAGATAGGTAACAAGGCACAAACAACAGTACAAGATTCTCTATCACATACTCCCACTAACTTTTTTTTACCCCCTTCCCCTATGGGTAAACTATAGAGCTTAATTAACACAGTCAACGGCAGACTGCCACATTGCTTTTAGATATTTGCCAGTAACATATACCCATGGGATACTCTAGAGACTGATTTCAACCAAAAATAAAAATAGATAAACAGAGCTCAAACAAAATTAAAACTGAGTCTGGCTGCCCACACTTATTTTCACACATGAGGAAAAATAGCAGTTCTCTTAGAAGCCTCAAGCAGACATATCTTTAGAACACAATGTTAAAAATATGCCCCCCGCCCCTTTCCCCTACCTGTTTCTCACTCAAAGCTGTGATTTTGGCTTGGAGTTCATGAAGCTGTTTCTTTAAGTCAGCATTCTGATTGGAAAGAAAAAATATCTGTGAGAAAGATATTTCATTCGTTAACAGAATAGTAGCAAGCGGACTAGGCATACTGTATTACAAATGATAAGGCAACCTTAAGCATTTGGCCAATCAAATTTGTTGTGCATTAAATTGTGGTCATAACATTACCACCGAGTACACAGATCCTAAATGCCAGCTTCTAGCTCTAAAACAGGGGCAGCTTCTTTATAACTGTCTTAAATTACAGGAAGTTCTATATGTTAGCATCTTGCACTGTAGTACCTGTCTACTAAAATATTGTTACTCCTTATAGAAAAAGTAGCAGTGACAGAAAACCTAGAGCTCCACTAATCACACAAAAGTAGGAGAATGGAGATTATAAACACACATACACTGCATGCTTAGCAGCATTATCAACAAAGATAAGAGGTTTTTCTCCACTTGCCCTCTCCCTTATTTAGCAAAGTACATTTGTTATTTTAGCCCAGATCTGAAAAGCTGTCAGTACTGCAACTGCCTTAACACTACATCATTCAAATTAACACACTGACTACCAGGGCATTTTCTCAGTTCTAAAATTCTAGAAATCAAAAAAAGAATACTATTTTAGATGAGATACACTGAGCAGGCTTGCCTTTTAACTCAAGTGGGCAAAAAAATTCCAAAATTAAAGTTTTCAAAAGTTTAATGTAGCAAGACAGCCTACTAGCAAACTGAATGTCACTCCAACAACACCGCTTTTATTGACAATCTCACATATAATTCTTTCAATTTACCATGCCTGGACTTCTGTCAGGGTTGGAACACACAACCTTCCCCTCTATTGAGTATTAAGCTTACTCCATTTGGAATTACTTGTAAGTATACTTGATATAAGGCTTCACTAATGAGATCACCGACAGTGCTGTCCAACAATTTACTGCATGGTCAGATTCTTCAAGTCAAGGTTGTTCTGTTACAAGGTCACAAATAATAAGAGAGATGCTAGTTTCTGATGATATTTCACAGTAGCTGATAATGGTGATTACCACTTTAAATATGGTATTCATTCATATGGTATCTATTAATCTCTGGTCTACCCCATCTTGGTTCCCTAAATCCAATTTAAACTGTGAGTATGCCAAAAAAAAAAAAAAAAACAAGAAGAAGAAGGTAAAAATAGGTTTCTCACAGAATTTGGACTGTCCAACAGGAGTAAGTGTGGGCTACCATTGCCAAGTCTCAGAATCAACAGATTATGTTAAATGCAACAGTAAGACCACTGAGTCTTCCATTTGTAGAGAAGAATATCATTTTCTACTTTCTTTTCTATTTTCCACTTTAAAAAAAAAATCAAAAAATTATTCTATCAAAAAATTTATTTTACTTTATAATGAAGCATGTATGGGATGGATAACAACCAAGATATAGATAGATGAATCTGATAAATATGCTCTGTACTTATGACCCACTGTTTAATGGTTGCAAAAGAGATGCTGCCTGAATAATAATCACCAAAAGAAAAAGTCTCTTCAAGAATAGAGAATAAAATACCTAAGTCAAAAACTCTCATGAGAATTTAAAGAAAAGTAGCATTTTTCTGGATTATCATGTAAAGTACTTTTTAAACCCTCTTTAAAAGTTCTTTCGGCAGAGTGTGGTGGCTCACGCCTATAATCCTAGCGCTCTAGGAGGCCAAGGTGGTGGATTGCTTGAGCTCAGGAGTTCAAGACCAGCCAGAGCAAGAGTGAGAGCCTATCTCTAATTAAAAAAAAAAAAAAATTTAAAAAAAAATAGAAAAGAACAACTAGCTGGGGATGGTGGCAGGAGTCAGGCACCTATAGTCCCAGCTACTCTGAAAGCTGAGTCAAGAGGCCTGCTTGAGTCCAAGAATTTGAGTTGCTATGAGATTAATGCCATAACACTCTACTAACGGGGACAGAGTAAGACTTTTATCTCAAAAAAAAAAAAAAGAGAGAGAGAGAGAAAAGAAAAAGAAACAAGAGTTCTTTCAAAAAAAAATTTTTCTAAAATGCCTGAAAAAATTATCCAAAAATTCTTACCCTGAAATTCAGTACTATTCAAATGGTCTATATAATAAACTATAAGTCAATAAAAATGATTTGAGATGTGTGCACGTAATGTGCACATTGTGAGGGTGTATAACACGCCCCCTGGGTGAGGGGCTCGTCTACAAATGGAACTTTCCCCTGGAAGTGAGAAGAATGTAACCTAGAAATTGTACCCTCATATGAATTTGAAAAAAATGAAAAAACTACTCAAAAAAAGTTAAAATGCCAAAAGAATAAAAAAACAAAAATGATTTGGAGCCAATTTCAATAATTTTGAGACTATAGAACGCTTCACAAATTCTAATTTTGAATATTTGGGTTTATGGAAATGAAATTTAAGTTATAGGGAAAGTATTAACTCAATTTTCCCCCAAAATACTCAAAGTAATTAACATAAAAATAAAATGAACAAAGATAAAATGATAGCTATGTTATAATGCAATATATAAAACAGAATCTTATTCTATTAAATATCTGATAGAATATAATACAACATAATATATTTTTCTAAACCCTTAAAACTTGAAGACCAATGTGCTACAGTAATTGCTATTAGGAATAAAATAGTTCTTTAAACTTAAGTCCCATCTACGTTTTAATACATCATGGTCATTTTGTTATTTTATTTAAAAATAAAATGAATAACAAATAGCATTTTACCTGTGGATCCTGCTTCATTTGAGCAACCAGTTTCTGGTAATAAACAGAGAAAAAGAGCCATTAGTCTTATATATTAACTCCATACAGCTAATCCGGCTTGAAAACAAAAAAAATCTAAGATTTTAAATCAACATAAAAAAATTAGCAAGACTACAATTAGAACAAAACAAAAGCTTCTGTGATCCATGTAAAAAGCTAATGAGGCACTTTTCTTAACAAGGAAAAAGAATCAAACTACCATTTTATAGTTTTTTAAAAAGGAACCTGATGCTTAAATCTGGACACAGGCATGGGGGGCGGGGAGAGTAGCTTTGAAAGGCAGTTTAAACAAGCTGGATGGTCCAAAAACTGAACATCACTTCCAAATGTTGTTCCTGTCCAGAGTTCCAAACAAGGGCCAGAAGAAGCTGATCCCACACAGAAACCAGCCTGTTTGTACATAGCAGTACAGATTTGGCAGGTCTGTTATATGATGCTTACCATAGAAGGAGCCTAGTGTCAGATGTGACTTTGCCATTATCTTCTCTCAAGGAAAAGATAAGTGCAGGGGAGGGTATGTTCTGTAGAACAGTGATGCTCAGTAATTGAGAACACGGCAACGGAGGAACAATGCAAAACTCTACCTACCTGGGTTCCTCTGGGAAAGAATGTGCTTGCTACCCCAATACTGAATAAGAAAGCAAAAGCCCAAACAAATAGAAAAGACAAATGAATGCCATTTGGCTTAACCCAACTTCTAAAAACATCATTGCCCAAAGGTAACAGTAACCACAGTGAGAAGAATTCAAAGGATAAAGGAGTATCAGAAAGCTATTTCCCTTAATTATCAAGGAATAAGCTCCTCCTCAAGTGAATTTTCATATAATGGAAAAATCTACCACTCTCTTTGGATAACAAGACATTTTTAAATTGTTTAGTTGCAAAATAAAATCTTTCTAAAGCACTGACTATATTTATCTACCTTCTTAAGTAACAGGAAAAAGTCAATCTTCTATTGATACTTAAAGGTACAATTATATCAATTAATATACTACAAACAATATTAATAAAGTCCTTACAATAGAAGGGCACAAATAGTCATGTTTTAGATTTCTAATACCTACATTTTTTCCATGTACTCCTCAATGCCAAGGGATCAGTTAGCAAATCTTGCTACTATTCTAACACCCATAAAACCCAACTGTGATACTTCTGATCTTCTATTTAATATATTTCACCAAACTAACTTTAAGGTGAGTGAATGGGTTGTAATAACCTAAGAAATCTCTGCTCAATAAAATGTATAGTCTTTGGTGAATCGCTTCTGACATTTAACTTTTTTTTCCCCTTTCTTTGAGATAATAGTCTCACTCTATTGACCTGAGTTGAGTGCTGTGGCATCATAGCTCACAGAAACCTCAGAATCTTGGGCTCAAAGGATGCTATTGCTTCAGCCTCCCAAATAACTGAGACTACAAGTGCCCCCCACAATGCCCAGCTAGTGTTTCTATTTTTCACAGAAACAGGGTCTGGGTCTTGCTCTTGCACAGAGTGGTCTCAAAGTGCCAAACTCAAGCAATCCACCTGTCTAGACCTCCCACAGTGCTAGAAATACAGGCATGAGCTACCACACTCAGCCTTGACCTTTATTCTAATTGGTCAGAAGACTTTCTGATGCTAAGCCATATTCTAGATAACTGAGGTTGCCACAATCTTCTGTGAAAAAAAGCTCTTGGTTTTCCTTCCTAATTTTGTTACCAGAGAGTTGGCTACTATATTGTTACCTTTATGAAGCTGAAAGAATTTTTTCCATGACACTGGAATTTAAAAATTAACTGATAACAACACTAAGTCTCCACTTCTGGAGGAAATAAATAAACAAACTTTTTTTTTTTTGAGACAGAGTCTCACTACATCACCCTCTGTAGAGTGCCATAGCATCACAGCTCATAGCAATCTCTAACACTCGGGCTTAAGCGATTCTCTTGCCTCAGCCTCCCAAGTAGCTGGGACTGCAGGCGCCTGCCACAACACCCGGCTATTTTTTTGTTGCAGTTGTCATTGCTGTTTGAACCTGCCAACCTGGGTATATGTGGCCAGTGCCCTACCCACTGAGCTATGGGCGCCACCCAACTTTTCTATCTATAAGCAGTTAAATTGCATTTTAGATAATCATGGGGAGGACAGGACAACCTGGGCAACTTACTAGACCATCCAAATCCCTAGAGTGACTTTTAACTGGCATTGTTAACAAAGTTGTTACTTATAAGAATGTAGCAATGTTTCATGAGGATATACTTCATGCAAATGGTAAGCAAATGCAGCCCACAGGCCAAATCTGGCCCACCACCTGTTTTTGTAAATAAAGTTTTATGTAACAGAGCCATACTTGTTCATTTATATATTGTCTGAGGCTGTTCTGTCTGTACAAAGCAAAGTAGCTGTGACAGACACTATAAGTGAAGCGCAAAGCCCAAAATATTTTGCTAACAGTAGCCCTATATAGAAAAAGTTTGCTAACCTCCGCTTTATACTATGCTCCATTCCATAGGGAATAAATACTCTAGAAGTTTAAATATGACTTCCAGTAAGTCTATATAAGAACAATCAAAGGAGGGAGGAAAAAACAGTGATTTTCTCTAAAAGATAAGATGGCCATCACAGGCCATTATTATTTCTTTCTTGAACATCGACTGTACAGTGCTACTTTTTTAATTATCTCCCTAATCATAAAGCAAACATAAAGAACAAAAATATACTTCTATCATAGCAGTATCATAGCTTCATAACATATTTTCTATCCAATAAGCCCAATTTCAGCCCTAATTTCATTCTCTGGAAATGCAAGAAATGGTGGGTTTTGCCCCAATATTGGCCAAATGGACATTCTGGCGTTAGCCTCAGCCTAATAACCAATGCCCCTACTCTGATGTCATTTCTGGCATCATTAAACTAGTCATGACCAATGATCCAATGATACAAGGCTACCCTGTATCTAATTAGAATAACATCAGTTTTATGAGTAAAGCATGTCATTTGGATTTGTTATTAATACACATAATTAAATTCTTTCCTCAAAAGTAGGAAAGTATTACAGATAGAACTGAGTTAAATATCTTAAAAGCTTTGTATGTTGAAATATTATTCATTGACATACAAATAATTGTTTATTATTGTACAAACAAAATGTTGTGTAATAAAAAGATGACTAAAAAAGCTATTAATTTTATGATCAAAACAAATATACAGGGAAATGACAATTAATGTGAATATTAACAGAATGTTTAGGATAACTTTAGGAAGAATTTTCTAAAAATTTTCCTGTATTTCTTTTTTTTTGGAGACAGACTGAGTCTTACTCTGTTGCTCTCAGTAGAGTGCTGTGGCATCACAGCTCACTAGCAACCTCAAACTCTTGGGCTCAACTGATTCTCTTGTCTCAGCCTCCCTAGTCGCTGGGACTAAAGGCACCCCTGACTATACCTGGCTATTTTTAGAGACAGGGTCTCATTCTTGCTCAGGCTGGTCTCAAACTCCTGAGCTCAAGTAATCCACCTGGCTCAGTCTCCTAGAATACTAGGATTATAGGCATGAGTCACTACACCCAGCCCCAAATTTTTAAATATCAATTAGATTTAAAAATTGCTGGGTGTAGTGGCTCACACATGTAATCCTAGCACTGTGGTGGGTAGACTGCTTAAGCTTAGGAGTTTAAGATCAGCCTGAGCAAGAGTGAGGCTCCATCTCTACTAAAAATAGAAAAACTAGCCTGGCATTGTGGTGGGTGCCTTAGCTACTTGGGAGGCAGGTAGGAGGATCGCTTGAGCCCAAGAGTTTGAGGTTGCTGTGAGTTATGATGCCACAACATTCTAACCAGAGCAACAAAGTGAGATTCTGTCTCAAAAATAAACAAAACGAAACAAAAAAACCCTCAAAATAAAACTTTAATGTCTTCATAATTACATAATTGTGATATTTATAAAATTGGTATACTTAAATTCAAAATACAAAACAAAGTAATATTTAGAACTATATTTAATTTAGTAATTAACTTCCAACTTAGGTCATGAGCTGTTAAAAAAAGGTCTATGTGGGACTTGTCCATATCTCTTAAGAAACTAAAAGCAGAATGCCAACTTTGTCATCTCAGTATTTCTTGAAAAGAGGGAAAACTCTAAAAATCACACACAACATCATAAAACTATTTGATTCACACAAAACTCATACTGATTACTGTACTCAAAAATTCATTCTTTTTTTTTTTTTGAGACGGAGCCTCAAGCTATCACCCTGGGTAGAGTGCCATGGCATCACACTCACAGCAACCTCCAACTCCTGGGCTCAAGCGAGTCTCCTACCTCAGCCTCCCAAGTAGCTGGGACCACAGGCGCCCGCCACAACGCCTGGCCATTTTTTTTTGGTTGCAGCCATCATTGTTGTTTGGTGGGCCCGGGCTGGGGATTCGAACCCGCCACCTTAGGTGTATGTGGCTGGCACCTTAGCCGCTTGAGCCACAGGCGCTGAGCCTCAAAAATTCATTCTATGATGATGTCAGCTTTGAACAAATTGTGAATTTAACTTTTGTCACTTGCTATTCACTCAAATTGGGTATTAAAATACCCCAACATAAAATACTTTCATCCAGGAAAAAGACTAGCTTTTTTTTGTAAATAAACATTTATTCTTGGCTGGACCCAGTGGCTCACACCTGTAAGCCCAGCACTCTGGGAAGCTGAGGCAGGTAGATCACCTGAACTTATGAGTTTGAGACCAGCCTGAGCTAGGGCAAGACCCCCACCTCTAAAAATAGCCGAGTGTTATGGGGAGCGCCTGTAATCCCAGCTACTTGGGAGGCTGAGGCATGAGAATTGCTTGAGCTCAAGAGTCCATCATTCCCTTTCCCCTGGCTGGCAGCTCGGAGGCTGCATGATGCCTGGAGTTACTGTAAAAGATGTGAACCAGTAGGAATTCGTCAGAGCTCTGGAAGACGTCCTCAAAAAGTCTGGGAAGCTGAAAGTCCCCAAATGGGTGGACACAGTCAACCTAGCCAAGCACAAGCAGCTTGCTCCCCACAATGAGAACTGGTTCTACACACAAGTTGCTTCCAAAGCACAGCACCTGGGGCAGTGCTGGGGTTGGCTCAACGACCAAGATCTACGGGGAACATCAGAGAAACAGCATCATGACCAGCCACTTCAGCTGAGGCTTCAAGAATATGGCCTGCGGGGTCCTCCAAGCCCTGGAGTGGCTGAAAATGGTGGAAAAGGACCAAGATGGAGACCACAAACTGACACCTCAGGGACAGAGAGATCTAGACAGAATTGCCAGACAGGTGGCAGCTACCAATAAGAAGCATTAGAACAAATGATGCTGGGTTAATAAATTGCCTCATTCATTAAGAAGAAAAGAATCTGAGGTTGCTATGAGCTATGATGCTACAGCACTTTACAGGGGTGAGAAAGTAAGACTCTGTCTCCAAACACACACACACACACACACACACACACACAGATACATACATATTCTAATTAGTTCCAGAAGCAAGGCCAAAAAAAAAATAAAATGTGCACAGTTTAATATAAACTAAAAGAAGCCTATTTACATAAGGCAAACTCCAGCGCTAAACAAAAGTTTAACAAAATCCAAAGCAGCAGCAGGGATTTCTGAACATACAAAGATCGAATGTAAAAATACATATTAAGTGCCTTTGAAGCCTCTTATAAGTTCTCTTCCACACTAATTCTGAGCATTGTACAAATCTAGTAGTTATAAAGGCTCAGGATATTCTCCCAACAATTTCAGAAATTAATGTTACATCAGACTACTCATATAAAACAAGGGAAACTATATGAACATTTTGGCACAATAACTAGGTAAATGACATGAAGGCTATGTTAACCAGTTTGATGAAATATCTCAAATTGTATGTGAAAACACCACACTGTACCCCAGAAGTGCATTAATATACATAGTTACCATTCAATATATATATATATAAAAAGGAAACCGTAAGACTACCTTTAAACAGTTCCCTTCTAGGCTGAGTGTGGTGACTCATGCTTATAATCCTAGCATTCTGGGAGGCCCAAGGCAGATGGATTGCTTGAGCTAACAAGTTCAAGACCAGCCTGAGCAAGATCAAGGCCTTGTCTCTACTAAAAATAGAACTAGCTGGGTGTTATGGTGAGCACCTACAGTCCTACTTACTCAGGAAGCTGAGGCAAGAGGATTGCTTGAGCCCAAGAAACTGAGGCTGCTGTGAACTATGGTGATGCCATAGCATTCTTTTTGAGATTCCATCTCAAAAAGATAAATGAATAAAATAAAAAGTACCCTTCTCTCTATTCTCATATCCTCAATTATTATACATTCAAAACTAGTCAATTCATCAAAATTTATCACTTTGACTATCACCAAGAGTTATATACAGTAGAACCACTGTAAGTTGATCAGCCAAGGGCCTGTAACAAACTGGTCAATGTTAAGGAGGTGGTCAACATAAGGAACTAGGTTGTTGTAGTGATACATACGTACACGTGGTACATATCCAATCTATGAAAATTAGATCAATTTAAGGAGATGGCCAATGTCAGAAGATTGTCAACCATGGAGCTTCTATAATAGTTCATGTCTCCTATGTAATATTTACGTGAAACCACTGGTCCAACTGTTTGTTGAGTTTCATCCAAGATGAGATGCAGGTGAGGCTAGAAATGCTAAGCCATAAATATGAAAATTCTGAAGCTTAAGAGGTCATATATGTGTGACATGACTTTAGATCCTATGCTACATTATCTACTGTTTTTTTACCTGTGTTCTTGGAGGACTAATGTCTCTTTGCCAGGAGTTTTTTTTTTTTTTTTTTTGAGTCAGAGCCACAAGCTATCCCCCTGGGTAGAGTGCCATGGCATCACAGCTCACAGCTACCTCCAACTCCTGGGCTCAAGCGATTCTCCTGCCTCCGTCTCCCAAGTAGCTGAGACTACAGACACCCGCCACACACCTGGTTATTTTTTGGTTGTAGCCATCATTGTTGTTTGGTGGGCCCAGGCTGGATTCGAATCCGCCAGCTCAGGTATATGTGGCTGGCGCCTTAGCTGCTTGAGCCACAGGTGCCGAGCCCTGACAGGAGTTTTAACTAACTGGCCAAAGATGTGATTATCCATTCAAGAAAGAGAAGCTTATGAAGTAAATTATACTTAAATAACACTGTGCCAAGTTATTGCAGGACATTTTACCTGAGTATGGTGGAGAGAATCAAGTTGAAGACTTATACCAAATGCAGCAACCTGGTTCTTCAACGTGATAGAGCAGCTCTCTTAGGAGTTCATTCTCCAAAGCCGACCACCTCCCTGCCTTAAATTGATCTAATTTTCACAGACCGGACATGCACCACATGTATGTGTCAGTACAACAGACCTGGTTCCTTATGTTGACCACCTCTATGTGGTGACTAGTTTGTTACAGTCCCTTGGGTCGTCAACTTACAGACATTGTATTGTATTTTATTTACATGTATATTTTTATAGTTATATACTTTCTTTGCACATGAAGTCATGGTTTGTTGCCCTGGCTAGAATGCAATGATATCATCATAGTTCACTATAATCTCAAACTCCTCACGTTATCTTCCTGTCTCAGTCTCCTAAGTAGATGAGACTACAGGGGCCCATCACCACGCATATATGTGTGTGTGTGTGTGTGTGTGTGTGTGTGTGTGTGTATATGTATATTTTTTTAGTTATGTATTTTAAATGTTTAGTCTAGGTACCTCAGATAAAATGTAAGAATCATGAAATTTAAAAATTTAAACATCTGTGAAGACAATCACATTTTTTTCTTTACTAAAAATTGGAATCAAGGCATAAAGCTGAGTCATATAAGTAAAAACTTTAGTGTGCATGGTAGTTGAATGAAACATGTCAAGTTAAATTCAACTTTCAAGTTGAATTAAACATTCAAGTTAAATCAGGTGAACAAAGTCCTTCGGATAAACCACAAAACAGAAAGAAAAAAAGTTTTCATATAAAAAAACACTTTTGGTATATGGAAAAAGGATTTTCCATTCTCTTCTCTCTTTTTTTTTCCTTTGCGAAGACAAAGTTTAACTTTATCACCCTCAGTAGAGTGCCGTGGTGTCACACAGCTCACAGCAACCTTAAACTCTTGGGCTTAAGTGATTCTCTTGCCTCAGCCTCCCAGGAGATGGGACTACAGGCACCTGCCACAACGCCCAGCTAACCATTCTTTTCTCTTAAAAGGAAGTCAGAAATATTTTTATTAAAGTTTTTAAAAATAATGAGTTTGTTGAGTAGTGATAAAAGAAAAATTACGACTTCTGGACAATTGTCAATTAAAGATGATTAAAAACTATACAAAAACCAGAGATGGGCCTGTTTATAATCTTCACTATTACTTAATAACATGATGTGGCAGAAGCCAATAATATACAGCATACCTGGTGAACCTGAATTTCCACTTTAAGAGCCTCCTGTAGAGTCTGCAACTCCATCCTCTACCTTCTCCACTTTCTCCGTCTGCTAGTTCTATAGTTTCTTCAGCCTCCGTTTATGATAACAAACTCCTTTTCTCACTGCAGCTGCAGAGATCATAAAATGTTTTGGATCATTATATTAGGAATAAAGAAAATACTTATGCTAAATAAAATTAACTATGTTAGTAAAAAGAAAAAAATTTATTCTCCCAGCTATTATCTGTTGTTGCAGTTTGGCCATGGCTGGGTTTGAACCTGCCACCCTCACTTGGTATATGGGGTCGGCACCCTACTCACTGAGCCACAGGTGCCACCCCTAAAAAACTTGATTCTCTAACAAATGGCAAGAAATTTCCCAGAATTTTTTTCCCCAAGACAATTCGGTACAGAACTTCCTATATTTCATTCTGTGAGCATTACTCTACAGAATACTTCAAATAACCAGGAAATTAAAAACAAAAACAAAGAAAGTGTTAATCTGGTCATGGAAATCTCTAAGTACCATGTGACACATTACACAGTGAGGATACAGAGCTTAAGGAGACCACTACTGCCCTAGGTAAAAATCTATCTAACAGGGGAGAGTCTAACCACTGTCCTTAAAAGAGACATGTAACAACAGGGTCATACACTTTTAAAACGTCAGAGTGGATTGGAGAGTTCAGGGTCTCTCAGAGGTTAAAAAATGCCAGTTACTTTCATTGGGATGGGCTCTCACTAATTTAAAAAATAAATTCAAAACTGGAAACTCTGTTATAACTTAAACATTTTCATTTAACAAATTAATACTTATAGACAAATATAAAGCAAACTCTGCTACCCACACAGTTATGACAGGGATATTAAAAAAGTATCTATCGTGCATAACATATGATTTCATAGTAGTGAAATACCTTTCCAGATTTACAATGAATATCATCTCCTTTTCAAGTCATTTCTTTGACTATACATACATATAACTGCAGATGGAGATGATGTCAAAAGTCTAAATTTGTGAACATGAATGTGACACCCTATCTGACCTCTTATCCTCCTCTGCTCATCACTACTGCAATTTAAATTAACTCAGTAGCTAATTTCTCCTATATTGTTTTTTTCCTTTTTCCTTGAATGTGGCCTTAGACATGATTTTGGGTCCTCTGCCAAAGCAAAAGTCTTTTTCTGCTTGAATAAATTTAAACGTTACTTCAAATTTCTTTTCTTCTTTGCACCTAATAAAGCTTGTATGCTAGAGCAGCTTTTCAGTATTCATAAAAATTGAGGAAGAGAACAATCAGGAGGCTAGAAGAACCACTATTCCTTAAACTAATACAATGAAATTCATGATCTTCACACTATCCAAAAATTATTTACCTATAAAGTCCATATTCAACCTAAGTTTTCTAAAAGTATTTTGAAAACTGATTTAATAGCATTAATGGAATCATTAACTAGAGAATGTAAGTGGTATTCTTATGAATATGAATTTTCATTTTATTTGCTTATTCTCACTAGGCCTAAAACAAATTAGTGGAAATCTCCCCCTTAGGACTTACATATTATGTAGTATAGTATCAAAATACTGTAACCTAAAAAAGAATAAATTCCTAAAGTGCAAAATTCCTTCAAGTTTATTTCTGTGGAAGCTAGGAAAGGTTTACTGTATAATCATATTGTTAACCAAAAAGTTTCATAAGGCAGTATTTTTAGGGAAGATAATTTAGGAAAAGAGACATTCTGATGAACAAATCTAGAAACTTTAGCTACTTATTATCTTTTTAAAAGTTTGACACTACAATCAGTCAACCAATATCAGAATCATTAACTTACTGACTTAGAACAAGATTTTTGATTCCTTGTAATTTTTATAAAATCAAAAATCACCTTCAAGTTGAGGAAGTGTTTTTGAAAACAGAAGGGCTGTATTTTATTCTACCCATAGTTACAATGTAACACCATAGTTCAACTCATCACATAAACTCTGGAAACAAACAGCAGATTAAAAACATGGAGAATTTAACATATACCACAAAGGGTAAATACAATTTACACAGTCAGAGCTCTTGCAAATTAGTAACAAAAATCCATAAAAAAACAATTTTCAGAATAAGAATCACCAACATACATGAAAAAACCTCCGTCTTTAATATAGACTTAGAAATCTAAATTTTAAGGAGTTTTATCTATCAAACTGAGATTTTGTAAAAATAATAAACTGTCTAGAATTTGTGTCAGGTGGCATTTCACAATTTGCTGACGGTTATCTCTGGGTGGTAGCGCTAACTTACTTTCTTCTTTTGGGGTATGTATATTTCAAACTTTTCCATAAAAAGCATGCACTTCTTTTTAAACAAGAAAAAATTAACAAAGGATTGATAAAGCATCAGAATATTTTATACTCATCAAATGGTCAGAAAAAGAAAAGGTAAAACCAGGGTTTAACATGGAGTCTCTTAAATGTCAAAGAGTGCTTTGCACAATAAGAAGCCTGCAACTCCAATTAACAAGGAACTGACAGCATTTATGTCCGCCGTCAGATTACTGTATGCTTATCAGAGACACACAACAGCATCGAGTTTTATTTGACAAAGACTATAAATGCCAATTACTCATTTTATTTCAAAATTAAGCTGAAGAGTTAAAAAAAGGTAGTGACTAGTTACAGAAAAACATATGAAAGATTAGAAGATTCATTTGAAATTCTTTTTTTTTTCCAGAAAGATCTCTTTCTGGATAATTTTAAAAGAGGTTTTTGCCTAAAGAGTGTATTTATAGTTTATAAAAACAAGGCAAGCACATGTTGAATCCTTTTAAAAAATATTTTGGGGTCTTAGACAACTCATGCAATGATCATCTGAACATTATCTGGGGCAGTTTATAGCATCAAAAGAAGAAATTATTTGCTAAATTTATAAAAGATGATTTATCATATTTTAACCAATTCTAAGAAGTCATAAATAACAAATCAGTTGCTGCGAGGTGAATATAAATAGACTCACAAAACTGTGCTAAACACACTTTATTCAGGCACATGCCTTTCCCACCCAACAGCTCTACATACCACCATCAGCAAAGGCAGGTGCCTAAAGCAAAATGCAACATTCACAGTCTTCAAAACTGTACATGTCAAACCACTAGGGTACCTAATAGCCTCTCACCTTCAAATAATAAAAAACAAAATATAAAACCAAACACACAAAAATAACCAAAAAAGGAAGCTGGGATATCTGGAAAAGAACACTGACTATCCAAAATAAACCAAAGAAACTTGAATTCCACATACAGCATGAGTCCTCTCATCTTCAGGGTTGGTTTGTTTGCTTATAAATCAGAGAAATGGAAATAATATCACCTAGCTCATAAGATTGTTATGAGGTTTAAGTAAGGAAAAGTTATGTGAAAAGCCCGTTGTAAACTGTAAAGTTTTATATCAGTTTCAACTCCTTTCTTAAAACAAACTTTTTAATAAAACTTCTCAACATAGTGTATTTCAAGAAGACTGCAGGCTTTTTATTCTCAAATTCTGTAAGAAAGGGGCTTTTAACTATTTTTCTGGGTATAGGTCTGCTTGGAGATAAGTGACCTGCAGTTCTTTTTTTAATGATTCTAATAACTTACAGGAAACCTATAACTGATTTCACCACTAAGAAATATTTTGCTCTGTTGCTAAATTGACATAAGCCTTTATTTCAATCAAAACTTAACTCCTTAACCAACATTACTTTAAGAATAAGTCAATGACACAGTTGCCCCCAAAACTTTCCCTAATAACAGACAATGCCATATTCTCTCCACTTGGTGTAAAATTCCTCTGCTTTTCATCTATAGTCTCAAACACAGTATTTTAAGTAGGCTTAATTTCTTCAAATAGGAGAAAGAAGAAAATCTTGAAAGATCTATGTATCTTTACTTATCCTATGCCTAATATTCAAATATCAGGCTTCAATTTATACAAAGTACTTAATTCTTACTATATGTCTAACATGTAGAGATAAAATAATATATATATATATATTTTTGGCCAGGGCTGAGTTTGAACCTGCCACCTGCATATGGGGCCGATGCCCTACCCTTGTGAGCCACAGGCACCGCCCTGATAAAATAATATTTTTAATTACTAACTGACAGTACTAAATATTACCATGAATGCTAAAAATCGTAACATCCTTTTAACAGTATTTATTGAAAACTTTAACATTTATTAACATGAATCAATAAAAAATGACATTGAAAAACAGTATTTTTCTTATCGTTCAGCAGAATTTCAATGTATCTTGATTTATTTTAATCATGGTATTTCTGTGGTGACACTCCACAGATCAACAGAAAATGCTACTGCAAACAGAGCCTGGCAACCCTGACTTTAAGGCTACCTTTGAATCTGGCAAGGTTACTAAACTCAAATCCTGGCATGACAGCCATTCACAAAAATCCACTTAGTTAGATGTTTTCAAACTATTAAATTAAATTTAATAATGTGGTTTCCTAACTATTAAATGATATTTCCTGTTAAATTAAAATTTTAAAATATGTACATATGCATATAATTAGATTTATGATGTCTGAATGTTTGAATGTGACTGAGCATAAGACATTTATCTTTCCCTTCTCTGTATGCTTTGCAGGGTTAGGGGAGGGGACAGGCAGGTCCTCGTTTTTTAAAAAAAGAAATACCTACAAGGTTAAACCACTGCAACATGAGGGCTTCTGTGGTGCTCTGGGTCAGGACAGAGGTTCCACACAATGCCCTCTCCTTACCGGCCTGCAGCAGTGTTCTGTCCTCCTCCCTACCATCAACGTTTATCCCAGTGTGCAATTTCTTCCATAGCTTCCTGAGGTCCAGGGTGTCTGTACATGTATACATTCTATTTCCTATCTTTCTTCATAAAAATTAAGCATGTCTACTAAAATTATCCCAACCACACCCAACAGAAATATTGAAGTAAATTTATAAATTCATGGAAATTCAAAATGAGGAGGCTGGATAATAGTGCATAAAAGCATAGTGACAATGAGGTTGAAAGTTTAGAATCAGTTGCCACATTTACCAAAATGCCATTTCATTAAAAAAACAAAACAAAACAAAATTGTCCAGACAAGCTTGGACAATATATCACAAATACATACCACACAAAGGAAAACACAAGTGGGTGTGGTGGTCTTACCATAAACAATAAATACTTAATAGAAGTGGAAGTTACGGGGAGATAGATTTCAGATCAATATAAGGAAGAACTAAGGAATAGAGCTATACAAAAAAGGAATGGGTTACCTTATGAGGTAGTGGGCTCCCTGTCATTAGAAGTATTCAAGAATGCTGCATATCATATCCCCCTCTTGGAGATTCACAATGCACATTAGCATATTAAAGGTTCTGAGAAGTCCTGCAGTAAAGAAACCTGTTTAACTTTGTTTAACGCAGCATTTCCCAAATTATTTGACCATAGAACCCTTTTCCCCACCCACACCCCACCTCAATAATATTTATTCAGTTTCTGAAGAACTAGAGTTCTCAGAATACATTATAGAAAATCAGCTACATTTTTTGAAATGTAGTATTCAATATGTACCTGAATAACAATTTGTCAGGGATACAGAAGAAACTGCCACACAGACTAAAAGGTTGGAAGAGAAGGCCCTTAAAGATTCCTTCTCTAAGAGTCTATCATATTTTTGTTTTTTAGAGACAGAGTCTCACTTTGTCACTCTCAGTAGAGTGCTGTAAAATCACAGCTCACAGCTCCAGCTGTTGGGCTTAGCCGATTCTCTTGCCTCAGCCTCCCAAATAGCTGGGACTACAGGCGCTCGCCACAACGCCTGGCTATTTTTTTGTTGCAGTTTGGCCAGGGCTGGGTTGGAACCCACCACCCTCAGTATATGGGACCAGCGCCCTCCTCACTGAGCCACAGGTGCCACTCAGAGTCTATCACATTTTAAAGTAGAGGGCTATAAAATCTTGATTATTTATCTTAAATAATGAGAGAAAGGCAAGTAGAATAAAAAACATAAGGCTAACCAGTCTGAGTACCTTCCTTTCATGTTCAAAGCCCAATCCCTGTAAGGAAGAGTGACACCTCAAAGACCATAAACTATCACAAAGAAGACTTAGCCAAATATCTACTATATCTACTCTACCTGCTAAGTTAATTACTATGTGAGAGAGAAGATTTAGTTTAAAAAAAAAATTAGCTTTGAATTAGGGTACTATCCAATTCCAACAATCTTATTTGAGTTTGTTTTTCATAATATATTCTGCATATAAAGTTAATATTTGTTTGATGCTTAGTCACTAGATTGCCTTGTGCAATCTGTGATCCTGAATTAGACATCCAAAGAAATGATTAAGTGTGCTGATTTTATAAGCCATTAAAAAATCTATTAGATATTAGTAAAAAAATGTTTGCCCATATGTCCCACACTGTTACATTTCTCTCTCTCCCTCTCTCTTTAGTTTTTCCTCTTTAAGAATTATACAAAACAACACACAGTAGAAATGTAGTATCAGACACAAAACCAATCCAATATTAAGCTTAAGAGTATATACACTTAAGAATCCCAAATTTCAAAGTCACAGTTCCCACAGTTACATTAACCTAGCCATTTTATACATATACCAGGGTCATTGTGTGTACAGTATAAAAGTAATACAAAATACAGTGGGAATCTTAACTTTAAAAAGAAAAAAAAAATTCTTTTTTTGAGACAGAGCCTCAAGCTATCGCCCTGGGTAGAGTACTATGGCATCACAGCTCACAGCAACCTCTAACTTCCAGGCTCAAGCGAGTCTCCTGCCTCAGCCTCCCAAGTAGCTGGGACCACAGGCGCCTGCCACAACGCCCAGCTATTTTTTTCTGGTTGCAGCCATTACTGTTGTTTTTGGTGGCCCGGGCTGGATTCAAACCTGCCACCTTAGGTGTATATGGCTGGCACCTTACCCATTTGAGCCATAGGTGCCAAGCCAAAAAGAAAAAAAAAATTTTTTTAAGAAGAAGATTCTGGCTATTTTGTCCAGCTGGACCCAAACTCCTGGGCTTGAAACATTTTCCCACCTGAGCCTTCCAAGAAACCGGGACTATGGGACTATAAACACTTAGCTGGGAATCTTAACTTTTGAATTCCCTGACTTTTAAATTCTCATCCCTAATTGCTACATTGAGGACGTTTTTTAGCAAAAGGGACCTTTACATTTTACAGGTTATCAAATGGAGGAACATGCAAGTCTAGTAGTATTATTAGAAACAAACATGCATTTGAGATCTGACTTAGTGAAATGAGACAAAAATTCACTTCCACTCAGTACAAACAGCAAAATCTTATTTCTGGGAGAGAACTTTCTTTCAAAAAAAAACAAAAAACAAAAAGTCACAATATTTTAATTATTATTCAACTAACATCAGGCATGCTATGCCTGCCTAATAAAAGCACTTACCAATTTGGGGAAAACTGGCTCTTCTTCAGTTCTCTAGCCCCCTATAACAGAAGAGGGGGAAAATGCAATCAGATCACAAACACAGACTTATGTCATCAAAAGCTGAAGACTCGAAGATTTCTCTCTGATTTTAAGAAGAAAAAACCAAAACACACAAGTTTCCAAAGTTTTAAAGCCCCCCTCCAATAGCATATAGATAGTTTTTACAGCAAAGAAAGAACTCAAGAGCAGTTAAATCTCTACTTTTCCATAGTTTCAAGACACAGAAAAGTAAGCAGTTGATGGCTTTCCTTTCCTCGGAAACAGAGAAATGAAATGTACCTCATCTACCACACAACTATACTCTCATTCCCAACAAAGGAGCTCTATTATTGGTTGTTTCATATTAACAAATTAAGCTAACATCATCAGTCCTTAGTCTGGTCCACATACAAGGCCTTTTTCCAATTAATCTTGAAATAGATTTGCCTTAAGACTTTAAAATTCACAGCACTTTATAATAAAGTATAATCAGAATTTTAATGAAACTTTTCACTCACATTCTCAGATGTAAAGTCTGTGAACCACATACACAAAAAGTTATTTTTTTCCTATGTTACATAGCTAATCAGTGATAAAAGTCAGAAAGAAAATCAAAATTTTGGGATCCAAATCCAATTATTAGGAAACAAAATGAAAACTTTTCCCTTAATATTTTAGCATTATTTAAACTCCACATGCCATGTTGTAAGACCATAAACATCTTCCTTATACCCTAAACATAGTGTATGTGTTGAATATTACTCCAGTCGCGTCTCATTTCCTCAGGGAATATTTCAAAAGACCTTCCTGTCATCCAGATTATAAATGTTTGTTTAATCATGTACAGTCCTATCAAACATACATTAAAATTATTTAAAAGGGCTCCAATTCATAGAGTTACCATTCATTTCCAAAAGAAATTCAATTTGTTGTTCTATCCCACATTTTTGTAGCAGCAATTCTTTTTAAAGTTTTCAAGTCTATTTTTTTTTTTAAAGAGACAGAGTCTCACTTTGTCACCCTCAGTAGAGTACCGTGGCATCACAGCTCACGGAAACCTCCAGCTCTTGGGCTAAGGCGATTCTCTTGCCTCAGCTTCCTGAGTAGCTGGGACTACAGGCGCCCCCCCGCCCCCCCCCCAACGCCCGGCCATTTTTTTGCTGCAGTTTGGCCAGGGCCAGGTTTGAACCCACCACCCTCAGTATATGGGGCCGGCACCCTACTCATTGAGCCATAGGCACCACCCTCAAGTCTATCTAAATTAATAATTTTAATCATCCAGTCTAGAATGACTCTCAACCAAAAGAAAAATCATGCAAAAATCTGTAGAACAATGCAGTTATTAAAATGTGAATTCTTAATGCTATCAATACCTATAGGACTCTCTATCACTCAAAAGATGCCTAAAACAGTACTAGACACATAGTAAATGCTCAATAAATATTTTTTAAATCAATGAATTGACTGAATGGACACTTAAACAGTCTGTTGCAAGCTTATCTTCTTCCTATTAGGCCTTTCTTGTTTGCTCTTTCAGGCTGGAGATAATTTCACATACACTGATCTCACACAGCATTATTTGTTAAACGAATGACATTCTAAAACTGTTTTTATCCAAATTGTTGATTAGGAAATAAAATAATACCATTTTAAGATATAATGAAAAAGAAAAGATTGATAAATCGGACTAAAATTAAGAACTCCTATTTGTCAAAAGAACACCATTAAGAAAATGAAAAGGCAAGCCACAGAAGTAGAGATAATAATAATAATACATACAATCAACAAAGGCCTACACCCAGAATATGAAGTATGAAAATATGTTGAAATGGAGAGTGATCAGGATAGACTGGGATTTTAACTTACACAGCATTTGAGAAAGTATAATCACATAAACTCCCCTAAAATGTTATATTCAGTAAAAGGCAACACAATGTACTAGCCAATCTCCAGGCCCTTTTCTCCAAAATGCAGCAGAGGCAATCCTAAATTGATAAAGAACTGTATCATGCTATCATGAAACTGCTCATAAAACAACTTGTAGAGACGGCAGAAATCACATAGGAAATCAAAGTCTGTTAAGAGACTTCCCCAAAGATCACACAGCTACTTGGTGCCAAAGCAAGAGAATAGCTTACATACTCTGAGATGCCTTTAACTGAGTCCGCTTTTCCACCAGACCTTACTTTCAACTAACTGCAATAAACACTGGCAAAATATTTTCTGAAAAGTCTGCATATAAAGTTTTAAAGAATAATCATATTAAGTAAGCTATCTAGGGTAGGTTTTAAAATCTGAAATCTTTTAGGTCCAAGGGATCCCCATGAGATCTGGGGGGCTTCAGAGGGGTCTGTCAACTCCATGATGCTGCGCGCTAAATTCTCTATGCATGAGCTTACATAGATACAGTGTTCTAGGAAGAGAGTTCACAGCTTTAATCAGTTTTGCAAAGATATTTAAATACCCAAAAAGAGTAAATTATTTTTAGACCAGTGATTCTTAAACACTGTTGCACATGAGAAACCCCAAAGTGTTTCTTCTGGAGACTGAATATTAATTGACTACCATTTGGAAACTGATTCTAAAAAAAAGAAAAGAAAATATTTTATTTCTATAAGAAGACTGAGCAGCAAAAAGCAAGATTTGTACATAAATTTGTACTTTTTATACTACCTATAAACAAAAAAGTCTTTAAGTCTCATATGAAAGCTTGATTTCCTTAGGTTAAGTTGGTTAAAAGTCCACTTAATTTCTCACACACATTTCTCACACTCGTGTAACTAAGATAGTTAAAACTTTAACCATATTTGCTTACATTTTTAAAACATAGACTTGTACTTGAAAAATACATTCAAAACATAAGTTAGAGTAAATAAAATTATTTTTGCTTTTAGAGATACGTATTATCTTGCTAATTTCATACACTTTTTGCAAACTGAAGGTTGTTCACCTCTCCAGAACTTCACAGGTGGCTGCTTTAATTAGAGCTAGTTAAAAAAAAAAAAAAAAAAGAATCACCCAGATTTCTGGTATGTTATAAAATATAAAATATCATAAATAAATCAAAGGTGATTAATAACTACTTCTTAAGTACCTTTTGTAAAATATCTAAAACCTTTGCATATGAAGAATCTATATTAAGCAAATTTTGTAGAGAAAAAGTTTTATGCTGGATGTTTTCAATTAGGCCAAAATTTCATTCACCTCACTATAAATTTCAAATGATTAAGCTTACAGCCTGTGCTTAATCATAAATTTTGATAAGGGACTAGAATAGCATAGATAATTGTCATTCAAAGATACTTTAAAATGTCACCTCAGCCAGAAGATTCAAACTCTTTTCTTCCCCTACTACACAAAGCTGACAGAGGTCCAGTGACTACATTTTATACACAACAGGCTTTGCTGCTTTTTCTCTGTCCTTCCTAATTTCCCACAGAAAGCAAATAAGTTCAAAATAAATTTAAAATGCAGGTAAGTGGTTAGAAGAAAAAGCAGAATCCAGCTTAATGAGATTTAGTCCTTTGGGCCCCAGCATCATATTAACCATCCCTCTTGTCCCCATCTCTCTTACCCTCTCATAGACATCCCCTTACCACTTCTCCCTTTACTTTCATGAAGCATCAATTTCCCCCTCATCATTACTGGATCAATTTATTCCCTCTATTTAAAAAAACAACAAAAAAAGAAAACCTCCCTTGACTCTAGATCCTTCTCTAGTTATTGTCCCTTATCTATACTCCCATTCATAGCAAAAGTCCCTGAAAGACTTAATCATACTCACTGTCTCTAATTCCTTTCCTTCCAGTCTCAATTAAATCCACTCCACTAGGGTCTTTGCCTCCCTTCATTCTTGTCAAGATCATTGATGACCTCCCAGTTGCTAAATCCAGTAGTAGTCTCAGTCAGTCTTCACTTCTGCTTTTGATCACTATTACTTGACCTAGTTAATCATTCCTTCCTTCTTGAAACCCTTTCTTAAGTCGCAGGGCATCACCCTCTCTTGTTTTTCCTCCTAATCTGTCTGGCCACTCTTCTCAGTATCTTTCTTATTTTTTTTTTTTTGTTTGCTTGTTTGTTTGTTTTGATACAGTCATACTTTGTCACCCTCAGTAGAATGCTCTGGTGTCACAGGTCACAGCAACCTTAAACTCTTAGGTTCAAGTGATTCTCTGGCCTTAGCCTCCCCTGTAGCTGGCACTACAGGGGCCCACTGCCATGCCAAGCTATTTTTAGAGATGGGGTCTGGCTCTTGCTCAGGCAGGTCTTGAACTCCTAAGCTCAAGCAATCCATCTGCCTGGACCTTCCAGAGTGGTAGGATTACAGGCATGAGCCACTGTGGCCCAGCTCTTCTTGGTTTCTTTTGCTATTTCCTCCTCATCTCCAAGACCTCAAAATGTGAAATTACCCCAGGGTTCAGTTCTTGAAACTTTTCCCTGTAGGTGATCTCACCCAGTCTCATGGCTATAAAAGGAGCCATAATATACTGGCAATTTCCAAATTTCTATCTGCAGCCCAGACCTTCTGCCTGAATTCCAAACTCATATACCCAACTGCCCACTTAACATTGGTCATATACATAGCTCAGACCCGACCCAGAAGTCCAAAACCAAACTCCTGACTATCTATCCTTCAACCTGTAACTATCTCCTCAGAATCAATCCCATCTCAATAAATGGCAACTCAACCTCTTCAGAGGAAAAATCTTAAACTCATCTTAGATACCTCTTTTTCCCAAACCCCAACTCCAATCCAATGGCTAACCATGCACCTTTACTTCAAAATATATCTACTGGCTCGGCGCCTGTGGCTCAAATGGCTAAGGCACCAGCCACATACACCTAAGGTGGTGGGTTCAAATCCAGCCCTGGCCCGCCAAACAACAACAACCAAAAAATAGCCAGGCGTTGTGGCAGGCGCCTATGGTCCCAGCTACTTCGGAGGCAGAGGCAGGAGACTCGCTTGAGCCCAGGAGTTGGAGGTTGCTGTGAGCTGTAAGGCCACAGCACTCTACTCAGG